GGCTTGGCCGACAAGGGCAGGGGACACACTGCTTCCCGAGTGCGCTCACTGGCACGTACCACATCGTCCAGGGAGAACTGGGCACCCTGGGCAAAGAAGCTGCCGTTCATGGCGATGGTGGCGCAGCCGTCGTAGTACAGGCGGTCCCCATCGCAGCCTTTCTGGTTGGCCAGCAGGTAGATGCCACCTGTCTGGAAAGCGGGGTGTGGAATCCAGTGGGTTCAAACCTCTAGCCTTGCCATTAGCGGCCCAGTGCTTGCCCCCTGCAGCAGCACTGGGGGTTAGGAGCCCCACAGCACTCGCTCCATGATGCCAGCTGTAAGCAGCGGTGGCCCACTCTGTCCCCACAGTGCACCCCCCACCCCCAGCCCACCTACCTTGGTGGTGGCCATGGACACCAGGTCCACCCTGGCGTGGGCTTTGCGCAGCACGTGGTGGCTGCCAGAGGCATTGGTGAAGATCTCGATGCCATCCAGGCCCATGTCCACATGTGGGCTGTGGGCAGAGGACCCTGCACGTCACCCAGGTCACACCCAGCTGCTTCCCAAGCCCACTGCCCACGGTGATACAGGTGAGAGTGGGGTACGGGAGGGGAGCAAAGAGGCTGGGGCTGACCTGTGGGGCGTCCAGAGCTCCTCACAGATCTCACTCCCGATGCACGTGTCCCGTGTGGCCAGCACAGCATCCCCAAAGGGGACAGTCTCCTGCATCAGGGAAAAGGGTCTCAGATAGGTGTGCAGGAGACCCAGGCGCAGGCCCCACTGTAGACCCCTCCCCAGAGCATGAAACTCAAGCCTCCACAGCATCCTTTCCAGAGCTGGGTGGTGGATGTGCTCCGGTCCACAGAGCCTGCTCCCCTCCGGCCTCACTCACTCACTTGCCCACGCCCACCTCACCCTACGGAGGTCCATACAGAACGGCGGCAATCACAACCAAGCCATTGGACTCTGGGCCACGTCATGCGGTTGAGGGAGGCAGGCGCAAAGGTGTGTGCTAAGGTGAGGCCCACAGGGGCAGGCGTGAGTCAGGAAGGAAACTGAATTGAGGACAGGAGGCCCTGCCCAGTGCCAAGAGTGAATGCCCCTGGTCCGAGTGCACCCAGAGGTGCCTCAGAAGAGAGACCTGGCCGTCGCCGGGTAAACACACGGCCATGGAAACCCCGCAGAGCACAGGCCTTCTGACATGCATGCGGTCGCCGGTTGCCATAGCAGAGTTCCCCAGGGGTGAGCTTGGCTGCTGACCCAAAGGTGCCCGGAAGAAAGGCCTGGTGACCTGCTTCCCAAAAGCCCAGCGTGGAGAACCCTCACCAAGTGAGTTTGAACCGCGGTGCTGGTGAAGAGCGCCGAGAGCAGGGGAGGCTGCCAGGAGTCAACCGGGACTCCGTAGTAGAACTACAACCAGAAGGCTCCCCAGAGGCCAGGGCAGGGAGCCTGAGTTCGATTCCTCCAGGTAGGTTATCAGGAAAGACCAAAATCACCCAAAAAGGATGATCAGGTTGAATTGTGTTCCCCTCCAAAAAGGTGTCTGCCTGGCTGCAGCATGACCTTAGAATTACGAAACCATCCTCTCTTTAGTGACGGTGTAATCCTCCTCTGTGTGCAATCTATGTAATCGATTGTTATCTGATGTACGCACCCTCATGTTGTGAGCTGCTGTAATCACCCTCATACTGTGATCTTATCTAATCACCCTCATGTTGTGATCTTATGTAATCACCCTCATGTTGTGATCTTATGTAATCACCCTCATGTTGTGATCTTATGTAATCACCCTCATGTTGTGATCTTATGTAATCACCCTCAATGCTGTGATCTTATGTAAGCACGCTCATGCTGTGATCTGCTGTAAACACCCTGTTGTGATCTGCTGTAAACACCCTCATGTTGTGATCTTCTGTAAACACCCTCACAGTTGTGATCTGCTGTAATCACCCTCATGTTGTGATCTTATGTAATCACCCTCATGCTGTGATCTGCTGTAAACACCCTCATGTTGTGATCTACTGTAAACACCCTGTTGTGATCTGCTGTAAACACCCTCATGTTGTGATCTGCTGTAAACACCCTCACAGTTGTGATCTGCTGTAAACACCCTCACAGTTGTGATCTGC